CGTTCGAGTGCCATAACTGACAGCTGATGCCTTCCTGATACGAATAGACCTTGCGATCGGTGAATTCGGACAAGGAATGACAGAATGGCGAAAGTTTGAAGTCGCCTCAGCATGCACTGTACAGTCTGACGGATTAATCCGTCCCATCGGTGTTAAAGGGTTAAGTTAAAAGACTTTGTCACATTGTGCTTCCAATAATTAGCGGAATGATTTAGATCGCACCATTGTGATTTTCGCAGTTTGATTTAAAAATATCTTCGGACAGAGTAGCATTATCGGTCGAATGTTTACGGGTGCGCTGCTAATGGGCCGAGAATGTAAGGATTGCTTAGATTGCAGTGTTTTAATGGGTGCGGTTGTTGTGTAAATAGAATGCTGAGAGTTTGAACAGAGGACTAAGAGGAATAGCAAAACGACAGGGGGGTGACAGTGTTGAAGCTCTGAGTAGCCGGTGTCGGCAGGAGTACCTACACACTCAGTACACAGGGAGTAAAAGATTGGAGAAGAGAAGTCCCACCGCCTTGAGAGCACCTCAAGCGCCCATTGCGGCACCTCCAGCGTCCATTGCAGCCATCAGTAACTCGATATCGACGATTGACTCGAATCAAATGGACAATCGGATACAAGGACGACCAAGTAATAACAATGAAACAGATCGAAAACATACAAAGGAGGTATCACCACTGGCAAAACGACCCTGAAGAACTATAGCAAACTACTGCAGCAATAACAGCACGCTCACAGGAAGAAACAAGAATCATGAGAAGGGTCAACTTGTGAAGAAACAGAGTATGGTCGACCGGACAACAAGAACGAGGACCCAACAACAACAGCAACAACAAGCCCCGTGCCTGTAATTATTTTTATCTTATTGGCCACTGGCCATCGTGAGAATAAAAGAATTAAACAAGTATTCATCCATTTATCTTGCCTAGTTGCAACGCTGACGCCGGAACCTCTGGTCGGTTGAGTTGCTCCCAGCACATCGGCACGTCATCCCTACATCTCTTATGTTCTGTCCTTTTCCTCGTTTCATTTTTGTTCTCCACCTGTTTTCCAGTAGGGCCGTGTTGATAACAAATTATAAAAATAAGAAGGAGAGAAGGAGAGCTCTGTGCCAGAACTTTGCAGCCTAGAGAGCGTCTGTGGGCAGGCGTGTGTTTACCGCCATATTGCCAGGTGTGTCTTTGCCACCATACTTATCAAAACAAAATACCGTACTGGCAATATATGTTGCCGCAGTGAGGCCATGAAGCATTACATTGGCACATGTTTGCCGCACGCAGGGCGTTACATGCAAAGTCGCACAGGAGCCGTTACACAGGTTTCTATATTGCCGCAGTCCTTTTTTTGCTATTGCCGCATCACTTTTTTTGCTATTGCCGCATCATTTTTTTGCTATTGCCGCATCATTTTTTGCAAACTGCAATGAAAAGATCGCCGCACCCCGCCGGACGCGCGTTACGAACTCAACGAAAATTTGTCGCACTAGCCTGGTCGCGCGTTACGCCGCACCCCCCTGCGTTACGCGTTATGCGGCAACATATATTGCCAGTACGGTACATGGTAGAAAACCATGCATGTGTCATGTTCTTTGAAGCACCCATAGAAACATGCGCAAAAAGTGAAAATCACATGTACCGTGAAAGCAATCCTGGAGACGCTTTTACGGCAACTTTGAATGCGGATTTTCACGTTTTGTTTTCAGGCACGTTTTAAAGTGGTAGGTGTTCCATCTGCGGTATGTGAAGCTAGTTGGGCGTAACCTTTCAAATTTGCCGCGCTGCACCATTGATATCTGGTCACGTGGGTCACTGTTTACGTGAATGGCATGCAACTGCATTTGCTGTGTGAACAAATTAAATTAAATGTGGCTTGTGCAAGCAGGCAGGCATAGTGTGATGGTCTAAGATCATGATTGAGAAACAGAGGGTACCAGGTTCAAGCCCTGCTTGGAAGCGGAAGGATTTTTTCCAGCCGTGCTGCGACCCACAGTTAATTGGGAACTCGTGGCCTGGCACGAGGAAAACATGGATGCAGTGAATGGGATTTTCGGTCTTTGACCACTTGCTGGTGAGCTGATTTACTCACCTCCCACCGCTATAGGAGCTGCATCTGCGCCTTGATCCTTGAAGGGTGGTGGCGTTCCTACGGATGCGGAAAGCCCGGCTTCCAGCCGAGTCTCACGCGAACCGTGAAATTTTTTTTAATTGTGCAAGGATTTCCACGAGAGATTTTGTGACGTGTGTGAATGCGAACTAAAAGTTATTGACTGTGCTAGTACCGTAAAGTCTTGTATAAAAGCCGCACTTGAATAGAAGCCGCAATTTTGGGGCCATCAAATCACACATAAGCCTGGTGTTAGTGTTGACATACATAGAAATACCTGTCTTGTATAGAAGCCTGTCTCATATAGAAGCCTGCAAAATTTCACCAAGAAAGTCATAGAAGCCGCGGCTTTTATACAAGACTTTACGGTTTGTGAAATTTCAGTAGGTTGATAAGGGCTCCGGGTTAAGTGTGAGTTAGTTTACTGTCTTCAGCTTTCCTGATTATGTTGGCTATGGATACTATCATTCTCCTGTGCCCAGATGTTAACCTGGACCACGATGATGCTTTGTGCTTCATGGATTGGATATTGCCGAGGATCTTACGATTGTGGGGTATGCCTATGTGATGGGCCAACAGCCAGCAAAACTCTGACAAGCTGCGCAGGAAACGAACAATTAAAGTACGTGAGCTAGATGTTTAATTTGACAGCCAGTTTGGGCTCCTATCTTTCATTTCTCCCTTCGCTAAACGCCCTACACAAAGATGATCAATCCAAAATCAACTTTACACAGTTCAAACTATGAATCCGCTTGTAACAATGATCCGTAGGGGTTCAGCCGGCTAGGTGTAATTGTTTGCTAGAGTGCAGTCATACAAAGCAGCAGGATGAAGACTGATTGAATTGACGAAGTTGCGATCATTTGAACGTACACGCGTCCTGCATATTCTCATCACCATGCGATCTACACTCATCCCGTAATTCAGCTGTATTACGGGATGAGCCGCCAAAAAGTAGAGACAAGAAAAAGAAAGGAAGTGAAGGTCGGTTATTAATGAACTGTTCAACAGATATCAATCCAGTGTGCTATGATAACTCTACGTAGCTGATCATGTATACTGCAAGGCTTGAGATTTGGAATCCCAATACAGGTCGTCCCTCGTTAATACATAATCTCTGGGACTTGACAAATGTTATGTATTAACGGGGTTTATGTACTAAACGAAAGTGTACATAACTTGCTTCTATACTAGAATTTTTCACTTTTTTCAATTTTTCTGAGTGTTTCTTGCTGCCATGACTAGGGAGCGAGATATTCTTGATTCCCTCGATATAACAAAAAAATTATGTTATAACGGTCACAGTCAGCGAAGATTCTACAGTTTACATGATACATGCCCGGCCGCGCCTGTACAGTCACTCAGAAAAAAACAGTGCTTTGTCAGTTTGTGATGTGCGCTCTGATTTCTGAGCTAATTGCGTCCACAAGTAGAAACTCGAACACGACGTGCCTCCACTGGAAGGCCAAAAGACCAACAAATTATGTACTATTGAGGTAGGTGGCATGCGGGTACGGAGAAATGTTATGTACTAACGGGGTTTATGTACTAACGAATTATGTACTAACCGACAAAATTTGTATGGAAGTGACCACGTTTCGTCCGGGACTTGAGATTTCTTATGTACTAACGGGGTTTATGTACTAACCGGACTCGTATTAACGGGGGACGACCTGTACCTATTAGAACACTTTGCTGATGACGGTCATTTGTACCACACAATGCCTCCAGCACAATGGCAGTCTTGGCAGCAAACAAACAAAAACAACACTACCGGCGTTCCACTGGCACTTGCTGTAGCAACGCCGACAAGAAAGTGAAAGCATTTGGATGTCAAACTTGGTCAGTCCCCCAAGAATCAAAACCTATGTATATTTGGCGATTTCGATTGTTATTGCAGCCGCCTTTTGCTTTCCCAAGCCACCAGGTGCGTACTTGATCATGTAAAAGATCACCACCATCCAAGAAGGGACCACAGCTAAGAAGTATTAGGAAATTGACAAACTCTGTGGGGCACGAACTAAAATTCGAAAAGATTGGGTTGTTGTTGTTGTTGTGTTTATTTTAATTCGCAAACCAAACGGGCAGATCTGCCCAATGAAAAGGTGGCGAATGCAGATAGAAAGCAGTAATAAATGAAATTGGGGACTGATGTAATTAGGATAGAGGTGGAGAAAAACTAAGCCAGTTGATCATCAAACAGGACGTTTGGTACTCTAGGTACTAAGGCCAGTAAGTGTGTGCGGGATCATGCTGGCGCGGAACTGGCGGAGCGTGGAGATGGCACGTACATCGCTGGGTAATGTGTTCCACAGCTGGGCGCCCCGGAACGCGAGGCAACCCTTGCCGAACCTGGTGGAAACTGGCGGTTGGCGCAGACCCATGGTGGAGTGCAACCTAGTTGGGCCAGCTGACGAAGGAACTAGGAGGGCTTGCAGTTCAGAACTTGCGTGCTCATTCCGAGACCTCCAGACCAGAACGATGAACTTCTGCCGGGTGACAACTTTGTCCGAAGTAGTGGTTGCGACTTCGGCGATGATTTGTAAGAAAGGGTTTGCTCCCCACACCGGAGCTCGCGCTATTCCGCCGACTCGACTTGACACTCACAGTCACAGTCTTGAGTCAGTCAATATCAAGTCAAGTCGGCGGAATAGCGCAAGCTCCGGTGTGGGGAGCAAACCCTTTCTGACAACTTTGTACATCAAAATAATGTACGAACCTTGTAGTGTGGGCAATATCGGCACGTTTCTGCGTAACGCAGACGCAAGGATGAGTGCTCATTGTCACAGTGTGAGTGGGCAGTGTGTTGGTTGTGCTGTAATTGATAAAGTTGAAGTATTTGCCACTGAAGTTTCCAACCCTACTTCACTCCATATATTTTCTGTTCCCAGATATCTGTTCGGCTTGAATTTGATAGCGATAGATCAGACGGCTTTTCAGAGTTCCACTGGAACCCTAACTCTGTAAGTGACTTCTGACGATGTTTGCCTGGTCTGGAATTCCAAACTGTGATAAAGCCTGACTGAGGATTATTGCATTCTGCTTTAGTAAGCAAAGATTGAGCCTGACTGGAAGCCAGATGTCATTTTATGATCAAGATCTGGCTTAGTTCTTCACCCATGGTCTCTTAGTTCTCTCAGACCTGTAGCGGTGTTTGTGTGATTGTTGGCTTGTTTTCTTGTTTGTTTCACAAAAGTGTGCACGCACTCCCACCGAGGGGATTGACAGCGTTGTTTCAAATCTTCATTCCCACAATGACATGTGGCTGATAAGAGATCCTTGAGTGTGAGATGTATTGTCGTTGTCGTCGTCTTCGTCATCGTTGTTGCCGTTGGAGAAGGATGTTTTCTCCTCCTCATTTCCGTCGTCTTTGTCGTCATGAATTCATGCTCTGTTTATGCAGGAGTTTAAATAGAAACAGATTTTCTACGATTCCTTATAATGCATTTGACAACCGCATTATACTTACGTTCTGTTTATGCAGGACTTTGACGAGTAATCAAATCTCAAAGATTCCGCATGATGTCTTTGACAACCTTAAAGGACTTACAAGCTTGTGAGTTGAACTTTCATCTGTGATGTTCGCCACTTATATAGAGCTTTTCCATGCTCAAAGTTTCAGATTTTTGCCGGGATCATCTCAGTACAGGTCAAACCTCGTTATTAGATAATCTCTGGGCCATCTTATAACGAGACTGATATTGTAACAGGACTTTCAACTAAAAATTCAAGAAGCACAGTTTCGTACACATGTGGGGTACCCTCAATACAAAAAATATAAGGGGGTTTGTCAACTGACAACCGCTCTATTTAGTTGCTATTCACTCTTGGGGTATGCGCTGGATGAAAATTCATTTATTAGTGATGTCAAAACAATTATTGACGTTTCGGGCCAGTCACCCATCGCCAGAAAAAAAACTTACAAGGGGCGAACCTGACCTTTTATAACGAAAGCAAGCGAGAGCATGTACAAAACAAACGAAACACTCAACAACTGTTTCAAATTGAGTGTATGAATTTGCATGCACAACAGACAAGGAGAAGTTCGCTGAAAGAGTGGGTGTGCGGCAGCTCAGCAGATAAAGCGGAAAATGCGTGTATGAAGTTGTCTACAAGAACGAATTTGTATGTATACCAGAATCCTTGTCTGTACAACCCTGTACAGCCACATCAATATTGAGCAGTTTCACTATGAAGGTGCTAGCGCCTTCAATGGCCATCCGAAGGAGATATTGATCTCCGGACGACGCTCTCGAATCTGGATAAACTCCCTCATTTTTCTTCTGGTCATCCGTGTTACCGCAGCCAGTACTTGGGCCTCAAAGAATATCACATCTGTGCTCTTGATAGTTCCGTGTTGCTGGTGATCAGTAGCCATGTGTTTACCCCACGGTTTGTCGAGCATCCTGTGAGGTGCTTCGTAGAGGTGTTCCTCGAAACGGTCTTCTGCGACCCTGAGGGTCTCACCGACATACCGCTTCCGACACAGCGCACACTTCATCATATAGATAATGCTGGGGGAATCGCACATGCAGCTCCCAGGGTTCGTAGCACCCTTGAAAACCCTTGAAAACTATGAAAAATTATCTTCCCCCGGGGAACAAACTGAATTACCCTCAAATTTTGTATTTTATGAAAATATCCCTTGAATCCCCTGAAATTTATTTTCCAGTGCTGTGATCGGGAAGATCTATGTAGATCGGCGTAGATCTACTACTGAGTACTCAGCGTTTTCTTTTTACGGTATTATAATTTCACGGAGAAGGCGGAGAGCCCGAACGTGTGCAGTTTTATTTTTATTATTTGCCATGGCGACCCCCGTAAGTCCAAATAACTGGCAGGGCAGGGTTGGGGCTTTTTCTTTCTTCTCGGATAGAATATAAACTTTCCAGTACTCAGCGACTGTAGGTACATGTAAGTACGCGTAAGCGTAGATCTACGAGTGCCTGTCTGGTCACCTGGTCATGTGAGTTGAGAGCCTCGACGGCTGCTCGCCACGCTCGTGTAGATCTTTCGGTACTAGAATTTTGCATTGTGAGCCTTTGAATAGATCTTGTAGTACTCGACATACGCATGACATGCACTCGACTGTCGACTGTTGTCGTTTTGGTTACAGTTGTGACACTGGCGGTTCCTAAATGTAGCGAAAATGGAATCCGCCGCTGCAACTGCTTTTCCGTTTGCTTGCCTTCAAGAAGACAACGCTTGCTCAGTTTTTTTGGAACGCCGATGAAGCTTGATAGAGTTGTACTTGTTGTTCGCCACGACGAAGGGTAAGGGTGTTTTCAACGATCGCTGGTTGCCTTTGGACCTGTGCAAAAACTGGCTAGCTTGCGTACCTGAGAATTGTTGTTGTATACTTTTTTTATAGTGGAAATCAAAACAGGCAAAATGCCTAATAACATTGGACCCACTATGAATAAAAATGTTAAAGGATATTGTGGAAAAGTAGATACAAGAGAAAAAGAGGTAGAAAAGAAAACGGAAGGTTGGTTGTAACGAACAGATATCAATCCAGTGAGCATTGGAAAACCTATGTCGCTGATAATATATTATACTGCAAGGCTTGAGATTTAAAATCCAAATACCTATTTGAACATTTTGCTGCTGGGGGCAATCTATTCCACATAATGGCTCCAGCATGCGTTAGGCGCTTAGCAGAACGAGCAGGTGGGACCACAAGCAAGATGCGGTGGCCTCCTCGAGTGCGAATTGAGGGTACAGCAGCAAAAAAAAAGGACTGAAATAGGGTGCTACATGCATCATGCAAACATCGCCGGATGAAACAAACATATTCAAGTGCACAGAAACCTGTAGATCACATACATGCATTCGATTTAGCAGGGGAGCAGTACTGGTCCATGGTGGTGACTTGCAGACTGCCCGAGCGGCACGTTTGAACAGCCTATGTAGCCGTTGTTCCTGAGCAACTGACAAATACGGATAGTAACTTATAGAAGCATACAAAAAAAACTTGACGAGGTGTAAAGTTTGTTGTTCGTCGTTTGATGTGTCGAGCATGGGCGAAGGCAGCTTGTAATCACTTGCGAGAGGCGTAAAGCATTCTCGTTCCGTGGAGCTGCGTAGCAATATAGCGAATCTAGATGCACTTGTTCGCCCTGCTGCTGCATCAACGAGTGCCAGTGATGGAGAAGTTACTGTCCCCAGCTGCCAGCGTTGGCACAACTACAAGTGTTGCAGCTTTCTCTGGACACGCTGAGTCGCTGCCAAAGCCTTGTGGATGCTGAAATCTGTGACAAGCCATTTCAGCGACAGGTCTTTGTCTGGGATCGGCGATCTCTTCAGGAGAATGTTTCCCGATAGCGTAATTGCGCAACAGTTTGGTGTGTCTGAGCGTAAATGCGTCTACCTCACGAACTTTGGCCTGGCTCCTTTCTTCAAAGATGTCCTTAACCCCAGGATTCACCAAAGGGCATCATTCGTATTAATGTTTGAAAGTTTTGACCAGAAAACCAGTAGCAAGCAGCTCGATGTGCATGTCTGGATGTGGGATGACGGCCAAGTTATAGTATTATTACACCATGTGGCACCTGGATAGAATCGTGTGCATATACACTGTCCATGGCATTGTACACAAACACATTGCAGAAGTGTAAAAGATGGTTTCATTCATCGCAACCAGCAAAAAAAAGAGGTGCTTATTGTATGGTGATGGGTGTAATTGAGAATTGAGAACACCTGTAAGTTGAGGACACTTGGACTCAGTCTTTCCCGTGGGTGTGTATAATTGTCAGGGTGTATAGTATGTGCATAGGTGCGCTTAGGTAGATAGTACTTCAAAGTACAGTGAAACCTGGTTAGGAAGAACCGACTGATAAGACAAATGTTTGCCCAAGAAGAACTAGTATTCGCAATTGTATTGGATAACACCCTGTGTATTCACTGGGTAAAGCATATGGATAAGAAGACCTCCCGTTATTGCGAACAAATATCATCGGTCCTTTGTTGTTCGTCCTAAAGAGGTTTGACTATGGGTAGTTGGTATACATGTTCTGCCCTCGTTGAATTTGTGCACATTTTCTTCCCGATCTGTTCATGCAGGTGGCTTAGCCAAAATCACATTTCGCAGCTTCCTGACCACGTTTTTGACAGCCTAACTAGTCTTGGAATCTTGTGAGTGGGATTTTCATCTCTTTACAACATATAATTCCAGAAGCTGTGCAAAGATGCTGCTCCAGTAGTGTGTGTGTGTGTGTGTGTGTGTGTGTGTGTGTGTGTTTGTGTGTGTGTGTGTTTGTGTGTGTGTGTGTGTGTGTGTGTGTGTGTGTGTGTGTGTGTGTGTCTGTGTGTGTGTCTGTGTCTGTGTGTCTGTGTGTGTGTGTCTATGTGTGTTTGTGCGGTAGGGTGGTCATCACATGACACAGTAGTAGGGTGGTCATCACATGACACACTATGCCTGGCGAGCTTTCCGAAAATGTACTCTACTGCACCGTCCCAGAAAGCTGGTCATATACACAAAAATAGGGCTGTCAATTGCAGGATCATAATGTGAAGCAATTTGATAGAATGTACAGGAGCGAAGTGTATCGAGGTTCTGTCTTTCCATATTCGCCTTTATGTTATTGGGGCTGGTTCCAATTAAATGTGCGAAGTAAAACACACACAAATAAACACACACGAAAAAAAAACAAAAGAAAAAGAAGAAGAAAACCTCCGGAAATCTCTCCAAATCCTTCAATACAAATATAACCTCTTTTCTATCTGACGGCTTTGAGCAGCAAAGTACAGATAGCTACAGGGGATGGTTATGATGAATATAGAATAATGGTTTCCTGGAAATGGCGGAAGGAAAAATTAAATCTTACGTGGCCGCTGTGCCTTGTCACGTGTCAGCCAACCAACTTCCGTTTCAAGCATTTCGATCTTCCAGTTAGTCAAGGTGACTCAATGTTGTGTTTTCTCTCAGTTAGTATACAATGTTGCGGGGTGGTTTACAGCGAGGGGTGGTTTACAGCGAGGGGTGGTTTACAGCCAGGGGTGGTTTACAGCCAGGGGTTGTTTACAGCCAGGGGTGGTTTACAGCCAGGGGTGGTTTACAGCGAGGGGTGGTTTACAGCCAGGGGTGGTTTACAGCGAGGGGTGGTTTACAGCCAGGGGTGGTTTACACCGAGGGGTGGTTTACAGCGAGGGGTGGTTTACAGCCAGGGATGGTTTACAGCGAGGGGTGGTTTACAGCCAGGGGTGGTTTATAGCCAGGCAGGCAAGAAATTATTGCCTAAAAAACTCAAGATTCCTGTGAAACTCCATAGGTAAGTAGGAAGCAACCCTCGCGGCACACATTCTTAACCTACGAACAAGCAGGCAAAAGAGCTCCGATGCATCAATTTGACCTACACAATTTTACTTCAGGGGCCATCCAAAGTTTTCGTTTGGGGCTGTGTGGATTTTAGGAGTTTGATTTTGGAAATAATTTAGGGTTTTACGTCAGGCCCTAGACGACGGCTACTTTGGCCAACCGGACAACAAAGAAGTTGAGGCCAAAGAGAATTTTTATTTTCCTGCGCATGCTTATATGATAGTGACGTAATAGACAGTGTGCCAGGTCGCTACAGTACTCCCCCGCCAGTGTTGAGGTCGGGAGGAGCCAAGCACGATAAACAAGAAAAAAGGAGAGAGAAGAGAAAGGAAGCACGGCATGTACAAGGCGGAAAGAGAAATATATATGATACCGTATTTACACACACTTGAGAGGGGTGAAAAGCGTTTCTTCTGTGCCTCAGAGTTTCACGGTTTTAACCGATCATCAGACAGCAACTTGACTACAATTTTCAGAAGATAAGATTGACATAGGCTGCAAGCTTGGATCATAGCGCGAATGGATGATCCGGGCTGATAGTGTAATTGTAAAAATGCGTGAGTTGGTTGATGGGGTGCAAAAATAGGCGCAAAATAAAGAATACACTTTAGGCCTAGGCTCATGCAACCACATGTTCTTCTGAGGGAGGCAAGAAGAAGGACAATGGGGTAATTATGAGCAGCACCTCACCTGCGACTGCAAGTGGTGAGAAGGTTATGCGACGGCTGGTGGTACGAATTTTGAGAGGTAGTACTTATTTTCAGTATGTACAAGCTAGAGCGAGCTGCGGGCATGACATTTGTTAAGAACGTGGCAACAAAGGCCGAAACAAAAATCAGAAAGCAGAAAAGAGAGAGGTGCATGACAGAGGCGGGTTAACGTGTCAGAGGTGTGTTAACATGACAGAGGTGGAGAGCATTTCAGAGGCAGAAAGAAAGAAAACGGCAAACGTACGCATGACAGAGGAGTATAAATCGTGTCAGAGGCGGAAAGAAAGAAAAGAGGAAATGTACGCGTGACAGATGAGTGTTATCATGTCAGAGGCGGCTCCATGTGGCAGGCTTTGCGGGGTGCCAGCAGGAGAGCTGCACTGGGGCGAGGCGTGCCGAGTGAGGCGGGGACGGATGGAGGCGAGCGCAGCTCCACGGAGTCCAGTGCCGAGCGTGTGCCTGCGTGCGTGGACAGTTGAGGTGGTACGGATGGTGGATGGAGGTGGCCAATTTCCAGCTTGAGGCCAGGACGCATACGGACGAATACGGACGACTGGACAGGGTGCCGTGGCAAGATAGTGGGGTATCCAGGTGGGCCGGGAGGGTGGCAGGGGCCACAGCAGCTCCGAGTGCGAGGCAGATCCAGTGACGAGTGGTGGTGAGGCTCAAGTTTTACGTCAACAGTCGGGGATTGACGGGATCCGGAGAGTGGGGCGAGCAGCAAACTGCAGCGAGAGCTCAGGGATGGCAGGCATTGGGAAAACTCCGAAGAGCGCAGCGTCTGGGGTCACCAATTTAGGGTTTTACGTCGGGCCCTAGACGACGGCTATTTTGGCCAACCGGACAACAAAGAAGATGAGCCCAAAGAGAATGCTTTAGTTTCCTGCGCATGCTTATATGATAGTGACGTAATGCTCAGTGAGTGAGGTCGCTACATAATAATTGAATGTAGATTGAGAATGCCTAGTTACTTCGGGGTGCCGAAAAATTGACATCGACACTTCATTGGAATTCGTTTTACCTGCATGATAGGTAGGTGGGTGAGTGGGGGCTGAAGAATACTGATCAGCTTCGTTTGTGAAAACAATCGGTAACCCCGGACGGTCCCTTACTGGTGATGGCCATGTCATCTTTCTGCACATGTATGTTGTGTTTATGCAGGTCCTTGGACCAGAATCGACTCATAAGCCTTCCTCATAATATATTTGGAAATCTGACAAACCTTAAACTACTGTGAGTTGCACTATTCTGTGAGGCTAGGACACAAATTTTGTGAATTATTGGTCTTCTGCAACTTTCACCCTGGCTAATTTTTGCTCTACAATACTGCCCAAATGCACTATTGATGGCCGAAATTATTCAGGATGTAGGTAGGATTAAATACTTCTATTTTTTACTTGAGCCACGTAAACCCGTCATGTGTTGGCGTGGTCTGGAATGCTCTGCCGACCTTGGGTATCGGCTTCATCACAACCAGGCGCGCCAGTAGCAGAGAGAGAGAGAGAGAGAGAGAGAGAGAGAGAGAGAGAGAGAGAGAGAGAGAGAGAGAGAGAGAGAGAGAGAGAGAGAGAGAGAGAGAGAGAGAGAGAGAGAGAGAGAGAGAGAGAGAGAGAGAGAGAGAGAGAGAGAGAGAGAGAGAGAGAGAGAGAAGAGAAGAGAGAGAGAGAGAGAGAGAAAGAGAGAGAGAAAGAGAGAGAGATAGATGGAGAGAGAGAGTGAGAGAAAGAGAGAAAGAGAGAGAGAAAGAGAGAGAGATAGATGGAGAGAGAGAGTGAGAGAAAGAGAGAGTGAGAGAGAGCGAGGAAGAGGAAGAGAGAGAGAGTGGGTGAGAGGGAGGGAGGGAGGGAGGAAGGAAGGAAGAGAGGGAGAGATAGATAGATAGAGAGAGAGAGAGAGTTGGTTTGCTAAATGTTCCACGACACAATACTTGAAGTTCTGAAGAGTGAACGGTCTTCTAGCTTATGACATTGTAGTCGCTTTAGTCGTATGTTGACCCTCCCGTACTGCTGGTGATTTACTGCATATTATGCTGACATTTCATACAAACTTCCAGTCAACTGCACCATCATGCCCCATATTATACTCAATCTGCGGACAGCATGCTGTTTCGTTCTTTTTGAACTCATCAATGCAGCACAGAGAAAATGAGGCCGAACCTGATAGCAATGGAAATAAAAATTTCCAATCAGGCCCGAACGTACCTTGCCAGAGTGCTCAAACTGACAAGTCAGTGAGATCTGCATAACGCAAACAGCAAAGGCACTACCCCACGCAAGAGTGCTCAACTGCTTCAAGAGCAGGAGCAAAATACTCAATCTGCGGACAGCATGCTGTTTTGTTCTCTTTGAACTCATCAGCGCAGCACAGAGAAAATGAGGCCGAACCTGATAGCAATGGAAATAAAAATTTCCATATATATATACCCAATGTAAACCTCATATATACCACCACAATATTAACTCCTTTTTAGAGATGGGACGAAACTAGCTTCAAGGTGTTATCTAATCATCAAGAAGCAGCAGAAGTAGAACACTGAACAGCAGAGGAAACAGTCCTTTGAGCAGTAGAAGAACAGCTCTTAACAGGGGCGGGTATAACAGGCTGCGCAGAATGGTTTGACATGTCAGCAATAGGAATCTTTCAATGTGGGCCTATCATAAGCGGTTAGAGATTGAACATTTCGATGCTGAGAAACGGAAAAATCGCCTTTTCATCTACTCCGCATTTCTTCATGTTGGTGAAAGATGTTGCCCTTACACAGTGATTCGTATACAGCATGGATAAACTAGCTTCTGCAGACAAATGCGTCATCATACCAGATAACATATTGTGCGAGAGAGACATTTTCATGAACCAGCAGTTGGCAGAATCGGCCATCTCACCTGATAGCACTCGCTGGAACAAGCAGTTTTCGTCTGGATGTAGCCTTGAGAGGTAGCGCTTGATTGCCGACAGCTGAAAACTCATCCCGAAGTATGTCAGCTTGCGCACATCCGCTGTCTCCAGTACTTCGGAGAAGTATTCTCTTATCTTGAAGTAGAAAGGACCAGTCCTTTTCGGATAGAGGTTGCTTAAACTATCACGTTTGCTTTCAACACTCCGCCCATGACTTTATTTGCCCTTGAGAAAGCACTGTCGTTGATGATGTTGATCTGTCTCGAGAATGACAATATGTGGGGCTGAAGAGCATTATGTGCAGATTGAAGACTGTTTTTTGCAAACCCAGAACCATCCTTCTTCTTTACATTCGTGTAGAAGGACGAGAGAACATCACAAAGTCTTTTACATGTGACTGTTTTGAAATCAACCGCACCTAAAGGCTCGTCACCACTCAAACAAAACTAATTAAACAATCACAGCCAAAACTGTGTTGATACGCGAGTGTTCTTGGGAACACCCTCAGCTATTAGCTTGGTCTGGTCATCATAGCTGATAGACCCGAAAGCACGCTTCTGAGGAGCTCGTATGTATTTTGTATTGCTTTTATTTTACATCGCAAGTCAAACGGGCAATCATGCCCAATGTTATGATGACGATGGAAAGGGAGAAAAGATTAAAACAAGATTAGTTATCCTGGATTATGGGGAGTGAAGAAAACGGTGAGTCTAGGAATCTCTCCTTAGATCATCAACATTGGTCATGAAAGTAGACTTTCAATGGACGTGAGAGTTGAGATGTGCTAGGTCAGGCCAACTAGAGGGGAATGCTAGGCTGTGAGATTCCGAAGTACGTCCATTCTGTGTTTGTTTTATGAATGCATTGGAAATCCAAGGACAATCATCCCCAAACGGATAAAATCGAAGATAACCTGGATAGGTGGAGTAAAGAAAACAGTGAGTATGGAGAACTCTCGGGATAGGGAACATCCTAGCATTAGCCATGAAAGTAAACCTTCAATAAACGCTTGAATCGGCATGTGGTAGGGCATGACTTTAAGGAGGAGGGCAAAAGATTCCACAACTTAGCAGCAGCAAAAACTGGTCTGTGAGATCCCGAAGTACTGCGGATGTTGGGAAAGGGCAGATTGCAGGCATCCTGACCTCTGGTGGCACGGGGCAGTGAACTGTATTTCAGGCGTGATTTGAGCAGCAAACTGACATTGCCGTGAAGTATGCGGTGTACGAGAAGCCGCAACTTGCAATCCGCCCGCTCGACAGCCGGGCAAATGCCGAGTTGGGCATACAGTTGCATAGTGTGGGCACGCGAGGGCTGGGTTGTGATACAGCGGATGCAGCGCTTATCCAGTCTGATGAGGGTCTGTTTGAGGCTTGCTGAGAGGCTAGCGAAGTAGGCGTTCGAGGCGTAGAGTAGGTCAGGTAGGATAAGAGCTGTGTAGTAAAGGAGGGACTGCGCACGGGTGATGCCTGCTCTGATGTGGCGCAAGACTCGGAGTTTGTAGGACACCTTCTTCACTACAGCAGCCACTTGACCTGCCCAGCTCAAGCGCTCGTCCAGACAAATACCAACGTATTTGGCTGTGCTGGTTTGAGCCAGAGGAGTGCCGCGACATGTAACTTCAAGCTCTAGTCTGTTCCGCCTTCCGGCGGAGATGCCCAGAACCTGTGTTTTCTGCGCGTTGAGGATTAACCTCTTGTCCGCCAGAAATGTTGCACCTCCGGACACTGCAGTGGAGAGGACACGGTTGATGGTAGCTACATCAGAACTGCTGGTGTAGATCATGATGTCGTCAGCAAACATCAGAACCAGTGCTGGTGACGCACACTGCACTCGTCACTCATTGTTCTAGAAAACAAGAGGCACGATGACACTAACCGAACACAGGAGAAACACAGAAGGAATGAGCAATTTAAAACAGCTAGTGTGGCCAGTTTTACTTTCTGTTTTGGCGCACAGGCAAACCAGACGTGTTTCTAAGCAACACGACAAACACATCCGGCTTGAGCGCATCCAACGGCGCGCCGCTCGCCTCTGTTTGCATCTCCTCCTCTTTGAACACAGAACCCACTCCATGCTGCTGCACCGACTCAAATGGCCATCACTCAGCAGCCGCCGTACCCTCTCCCTTCTTGCACATAGCCTGCATCATAGATATGCACCACCACACCTTCTTGCAATTCACCTACCCCGAATGCAACCCATTCGCACGCTCAGGTTCCCCCGAACCTTTGAGCTATCCACAACACGCACAAACCGGCTAAGAGACTCCCCATCTATGCTTCTCTTGATCTCTTTAATAGCATCCCACTCTGCCTCCGGCAAATCAACCCCAGACGAGATTTCAAAGCAAGCATCCTATCACTTGTCATCTCTTCCGTATGTACTTGCTCACATTGCTCAACACATCTATAGCTCCATTGCGCCCAGCCTATGTGATAAACTCCCAATTAGTATTGCCATCGCTACTGCCTCAGCAAGCAGCTAAACTCTGATCTCTCTGTATCTGATCCCCGTGCCTGTAATTATTTTTCTCTTATTGGCCACAGGCCATCGTGAGAATAAAAGAATTCAAACATCGTGTTCTCCAATATATTTGCTCCCCAACTTTCTGATTTCGACTACTTTCGGAGGTGAAGCTCTCCAGACCTCCACTGCGCAGACTCGAAAGTCGCTAATTTTTTCAGAGGTGCAATAAACGGTCCAATGTGAGCTCCTACTTGGAATGTGCTGTTTGCACTGTTCCTTGCTGAAAGCAGGAGCAGTTGACTGTCAGTTTGAATGAGATCAGCATATGTATAACACATCCCACTCGTACGCTTGTACGTGAAATATAAACCATCATACAAACCTTGGCTGCGCCTCGGTTTGTATCGGTTTATATTTCATGTAGAAGCGTACTGTTGGTATGTATTATAATTATACATAATATAATATTTAGAAAAGCGATCCTGTCAGCTTTTCTACTATTGTGTTCACATGGCAGAAAAACGACATCGCTATGCTACGTAAGTTTCTACATAAGGTGCTCGGTATTTCACTTAGGCTAAGTAAGTTTCTACGTAAGGTTCTCGGTATTAGATCTACCCACGCGTGGTAGCCGCGTGCTGTGCACGTGCACGGCAGACATTGTGTTGCAGTGCAGTCCGTTTTCGGATGTGCATGCGCGAGGAACTTCCTTCTTTGGAACTGCTTCTTGCATGAGCTGTTTCGGATATTTCGTGTCCTGGCTTATTTCGCTTCGGCTCTGCTGAGACCTCTTTTCACGGAATTTCACTCAATGACAGGTGAGTTGACCAGTTCCCTTTGATTCATTTGCTTGTGTTGACTCTTTCATTTA